TAGCTTTATATTTTATAAAGTTTAATAAAAAGCTATATCTGCCTAGCGTGTTTACGCCTAACAGCATATTTATTATTAAATTATTTATTAAATACGCTTTTATACTTACCTTTATATATACTTTTTTTTTATTATACCTTATAAAAAAGCGCACTAAAAGTGTTATAAATTTTATATTAATAAATTTATTCTTAATTTTTTTAATTAGTACTAGCGTGTAATATTAAATTTTTACTTTTAGTATATACTTTTTTAAAAATTTATAATTTATAATAGTTAAAGTATATCCTAAATTAAGGCATATTATTATTATATACTATTTAATATAAGCTTTTACTATTATATACTTTTATAAATAAAAATATATTCCTAGGTTAGTTTTAATTATTAGTAATATAATAAATTAAATTACAGGCAATGCTATATATTTTTACTTATTTTTCCCTTTTAATAAAGTATTCTTATATTTAGAAAAATACTTATAAAGCGTGTTGTTTAAGGGCATTCCTGTAAAATAATATTAATAGTTTATAATATTTATTAACTATATTAGCGCTAGTATAGGATTATTATAATATACTTTGCCCTAGTTTAAAGCTAGCACGGGATAATTATAATATATTTTTATTTAATAGCTATAGTATTACTTTATATTATAATTAACTTTACTATTATATTTTATATTATTATAATATATTTAATTTTTGTAAATAACTTTATAGCCTTGCTTTATATTATTATAATATACCTAATTATTTTATACTACGTAGCTATAATACACCTATTTAAAAAGTGTTTTTTTATAAGTTATATTACCATCCTATGGCATGCCATAATACGCTTTATATAATAGGAATTTAGTATTAATATATACTTTATTTTATATATACTTATGGTATTTCTCCGGGAACTTATTTAGTATTATACCTTTTTTATTATAATATATTTTTTAATATTATTAATTATATTTTTACAAAGGCGGCGGTTAATAACCACCCTAGTTTTAATTAATAATATAGCCTTATTTTTTTTATAACTATATATTTATATTTATAAGGGGCCATGGCTTAGTATAAATATATTATTTTTATTTTTTTTACCTTAATTATTACTATTACTAAAGTTTTTATAAGTTATTATTTTTTTATATATTTTACAAGGCTTATTATTAGTTATTAAACTACTATACCTAGGTATTTAAAAATAGGGAGGATTAGGCTATTTAAGGTGCCTAGGGTTAATTATACCATAAGTAATATAATAAATACCCTTTAAATAATTAGCTATATTAATACTTTATAAAATATTATTTAAATTATTTAAAAGGGCTATAAATTAAATTAAAATCTTAAGGTAATAAGGTTATTTTATACTATATTAATATTATTACTTTAAAAAAAGTACTAGTAGTTAAATATTTTAAAAATTAATTAAATTAATTTATTTACTTTTATTTTAGGATTTTTATAAATTACTTTACTATAAACCCTTTTTATAACTTATTTATTATTACCCGTAGTAAAGTATCTAAACCTTTTTAAGTATATAAAATTATCAAAAAGTTTATAATACCCTTTTTATATTACTTTAAAAATAATAATATTATATTAATATATTATATTATTAACACGCGGTTATATATATTATTTAAAATATAATATATTATATTAAGCCTCTTGCAAGCTTAGCTAAATAATATTTAAAATCTAGTTTTTAAGGCTATGTATTAATTTATTATATTTTTTAAATAAATTAAACCGCAATATATTATATTAATTAGTTTATTATTTTATTAAGTTAATACTTTTTTTTTAAAACATGTTTTAATATTACGTGCTAGCTATTATATAAACCTTATTTTTATTATTACTTAAAAATATTTTATAAATAAATATACTAATTTATAATATATAAATTTATTTTTATTTACTATATTTTTAAAGCTATATTTAACTAGTATATTTAAAAAAAATTTTATATTAGCAGCTTTTTATCCAAAATCCTAGGGTTACCTATTTTTATTTTTTAAGTAATATTATTTACCCTTATATTTATTAGGATTTTTATCATGCCTGTTACTATTGCTATTATTATATTAATTATTATTATTTAATAATAAGTTACTATTATTATCTAGGTTGCCTTTTAGTTTTTTTTAATATTTTTTTTAAATATATTACTTTTATGCCTTTTGCTTTTCTTATTATAAATAATTTAGTTTAGCTTATTTTTTATTATAAGCTTTTTTATTTTCTAGCCTTTACTTGCGTTGCTACTTGGTTTTTTATTTAGTAAAATAAGGTAAAACCGCCTTTAATATATAATTAATTATATTATTAATTAACCTTTATAAAGCAAGAGTTTATATATTTATAAATACTATATTTTTAATAGCTAGCTATTAATTATTTTTAGGCTATTTACCTAGTTTTACTAGTTTCCTATTTTTATTTATCCTTACTTTTTTTTTGTAACGTATTTTTTTAAGTAAGATTTTAATAATAGGTTTATTCTTGTAAAAGGACCTGTAGGTGGATAAAAGGGTAAATAAGGCTTAAATAATAAATAAGGCCTAAATTAAAAAAGGGGGTAGCAAAACCACACTAGTAGTATAAAGTTTAATTAAAACCTTATAAGTGGGCTAATTAATTAAAAATAATAAAAAATATTATTAAGTATTTTTAAAAGCAGACTTTTAGTTTATTATATAGTTTTTATTTTTAAAGGTCTTGGTTACTCTTGTTTATATAATATTAATTAATTAAAGTTATGGTTTATTCCTCCGGGGTAGTATTATTTAACTATTATTAATTTATTTTATTTTTTTTTATAATACTTGTTTTACGCGCAGACTCGCACTTAAAAATAGCAAAAAAAAAATAAAAAATAATTATATATTAATAAAGGTATAAAACCTTTTAATAAAGTATAATATTATTATAAACTAGGTAAAGTGGGTAAAGGTAGTAGGGATATATATAATAATTTAAAAATTAATAATATATTTTTTAATTTAATAACTTTTTATTTAATAATTACTAGCGCTATTATTACCTTTAAAATAGTTAAAATAACTTTAATATTTTTTATTAATAAAGTGGATAGTAGGTTAGCTATTTACCAGGTAAAATAGGGATTATATAAGATTTATTTAGATTTTTTTATAAAGGATTTTACTGCCGTATTAAATATTTTAGTGTTTTTAATTACCTAGTTTAATAAGAAAAATAAAGGCAAGGCTTACTATTTTTAAGTATTATTTTTTATAACTTATTTTAATAAGGCTATAAAACCTATTAAAAAATTATTTTTTTTTTATATTTTTATTATTATATTTTTAGCTTATTTATAACCTATTTTAATAAATTTCCTTAGCTAGGCAATAAACTTAATTAACTTAGTTATATATATAATAGCGCTTTTATTTTTATTTTTAAGTTTTAATATTATAAGTAGTTTAAAAGTCTTAGGTTTTATTTTTGAAACTACCTTGCTTTACTACCTTTATAGCTATAAAATAAACTATATAATTAAATATTATAATATAAGCTATATAATTATATATTATTTTTAATAGGTATATATTATAGTATAGCGCAGTTACTTTATAAAAAAAGCTATTAATTAAATATAGTAAGTAAAAAAAAGGGATTTATAAAAGGTAATAAAAGGTAAAAAAAAGGTATTTATAGTTTAATACTTATAAATTAAAAGTTTATATATTATAGGGTTATAGTATTTAGTAAGGGTAAATAACTATTAAATTTAAAAATAAGTATTAAAGTTTAAGAATAAGTATTAAAGTTAATTTACTTAATAATAATAAAAAGTATTAATTACTAAAAATATTTTTTAATAGCTAGTTAAAGTGGTTACCTAATTTTATTAAAAAAAAATTAAGACCTTGTTATATTATAACATGCTATTATTTATAGTAGTAAATAGCATTATATATAAATATAAAAAGTCTTAATTTTTAAGTAAGCCATAAAGTAGTTAAAATATCTTTTCATTATATAATAGGGCGGTAATATAGGGTAAAACCTATATACCCGGGATGTGGCCCGTATGCGGCTATATAAAATATTAATAAAATATTAATAAAATATTTTAAAATTTATAAGAACCTAAAAGTATAGCTATTTATTAAAA